GCGCGCCAGGCGGTGGCGGCGCTGCAGGTCAAAAGGCCGCGTGGCACAACTGACGCGCGTGCAGCCGCGGGGGTGGGAGGACAGTAGAAACGGGGGAGGAGGATAGGAACGTGTAGATGAGAGACAGACAGAGGGGATAGGGAGTAAGCAGTCAATCTCCCGCCAGGTGGGATTGATTGATTGATGGATGGATGGATGCTAACGAGCGTGTCAACGTTTATGGTAATTAGTCCCGTAAGTGTAATACATGTTTCACCCCTGGAGGTAAGTAGGATAGTCCCTCGCTGAATGGCAATCTAGCACATGTCGGCTAACGGGATTTTGCTAACCAGTATGGGGGGCACAGCCCCTGCCGGGACAAGCTTTAAGCTTCCGTCTGGTCTCCCGAAATGCGTGGAATAGTGCATGTAAGGTAAGTGTGTGTTATTAAGGTGTGGGAATAGGTCAAGGAAGACGAAGGAAGGATCGCGCACGGTCCGTGGCCCGTTTCTTAGAGTTCTGATCCGGCATACGCTAGGTGTTGATCAGAGAAACCATGAAAAACTACCGGTTAGAGCAGCCGTCCGCTAGAGTTCTCCTCTAGACCATGGAGGCAGATTTCGACCTCGTATTCATAGCTAGTGACGAAAATCCTGCCCCACCGTCGCGATTTAGAACCCAATGACCTCCCGGTCAGAGACACAGTGGTACTATCAATTGATTCTCTGAGCTATCCAAGATGCTGATAGGTGTGAAGGGAACGGATGAGAGAGGAGAGATTACATGGCAGAAGAAATCTGGGAGGGGAAACAAGTTCAAAGTTTCCACGCTTGCATTACGGTTGTGGCTTTGTTAATACGTCATAAACGAGTTAGAGCAAACATCTGGAAAATGTAATAGAGAAACCTAGATAAAAAGACTTCTCTTTTGGAAGCGTAATATCTAGCTGTGGTACGTCGGGTAGGCTCGAACACCTGAGGAAGATTTGAAGAAAAAATAATTTCTTAAAATATCTAAATATCTCTTTCACAGTCTTTAATTAATTTAAACTATCAGTATATATCAATCAAATAATACCGAAATAATTTGGCCCAACATTTATAAAAATGAAATTTTGGTGGTGAATTAATCAGTTGTCGAGTATTAGAGGTTTGATCTTTTAGAAGTTACTGCAATTAACCGGTAATGTACTCTTAAGTTACCTAAAGTCATTTACAAAACAATTAAACCGTCAATTGAAAGTACAAAACAGGGTAATATCAATACCCCAAATGAAAAACACCATATCTATTATAAAATAATTTCGTATGAGTAAGTTGGCCATAGATTAAGCGGACATGGAAAGAGGATACACATTTCTTGATGTACTTTGCGAAAAGTTTAATTTACGAAACGTTACAAAACACAGCACAATTCAAAATTATCCCCTAGATAATTGAAATTCACAAACCACTCCCTAGGTGATTAATTTCACGAAATACCTCATGGGTGATTCAAAGTGTGAAGTTATTCTTTTTTAATAATGCAAACGTTTCGAAATAATTTAGATTTTTAGAGTCTACCTAACATATGGCCAAATGTGCCAAATAAATTATATTCCAGAATGTTTCCGGCTAAACATTTAGCTTATTGGAAAATTTCGAAATCATCTTTTCACTTAGTCATCAAGTACGAATACGCTGAATATTTTGGGTTAGTCGAGACTTTTGACGCAAGGAAACATCTGGTTAGTTTCTGAAATCTGAAATACGCTTGTAGAGGTTTTCATACAAGTCTTTTACATCCATCTGGTCTGCTGTTTTAAAGAGCCTAGTCTAACATTGTCAGCTTTCAAATCTCCATACTTTCAGCTGTTCATTGAATCTCTATCATAAACCTCTAAAAATAAATACAGCAAAGTCATCACCATGTACTTCGAAGTATAAGATATTTGATAAGTAATTTATCAAATATCTTGCACTTTGCAACATTGCATGCAAATATTGGTTAAAAACTATATTTCATCAAAAATATTTAGTAGTCCTATTTGGGTTTAACATATTTGGGAATTTGAGTCTTTACAATTGAACAAATGAATGATATCAGACCAACACCAGTACTTTGTTACTCAATATTGATGTGCTGTTCACATTAAACGTGTGAACGGAACATACGTCCAGCCTCTAATACAATCCCCACTACACTATCCTTTCGCTAATGTGAAATATCTAAGTACATTAACAATCGCGTATAATTAAACGACACACGACCGTAGTTCATTTTTATGTGCCGTTTACACGTTACCCAAATTGCATCTGATCTTACCTATTCGTAGTCTGCTACACGCATTGTGAACGTCATAAACACAAGCATTTCCCATTAACTCGTAACCTGTTTGTTGGATTAACCTACGTTTATCTGCTTTTGTTGTCAGTCGCACGCTTCGAAGAGCGGTACTAATCAATGTTAATATGAAAAGATGTGTCTGGCAAATGATGACAGACAACGTTTCCGCATCTGCTTTCAAAGGAATCGCGTATAACGATTCACATCAGTAGTAATTGTAGAGAAATTACCTAACACACACCCGCGCGTAAGTACACCGTACTTGTGAGTGGCCTCTGCAGATCCCTCCAAACTCTTTTCTTTTTTCTTACAAAAACGCTTGATTTGAGTTTACGCTGACGCTAAAAAATACGACTAATTTGTAATAATCGTAAATATTAATATTAATTCAAAAGTTAGTGTTCCTAGTACGCAGTTCACACATCCCACCGTTTACTGTATAAACACTTCAAGTCGAGTGAGACAGTATTCGATTTATTATTGTAATATACAAGTTTCCTGAAACGCATATAATTTCCCTATTATATTACGTTTGGAAAAGGTTTCATCGCATTACGTCTCATCCAGTTGTTTAGATTTTGTAGATAAATTTGATTATGCAAATTCTCTTGCTTTTAAAATATGATCAACGGCAGTGGATCTTCTGAAACCACGTACTCACCCTCTGAAACCATGTGTAGCCCCTCTGAAACCACGTACACATACGTCGAATACGTACAGCAGCCAAATCTACGTACAACATGCGTATCTGCCACCTTCTGAGTCTATGTTGATTTTCCAAATCTACATCGACCTTTTAGCGGAGAGCAGAATTTATTGCATTTTAATTTGTTTTTTAGTTAACATACCTTTTGACCTCGCTTATTGAAATGCAAAAGTTTCGTACTTCATCATGTGCTATACCTCGTATTAAAAGATATTTAAAAGCTGAAAATGCCAATTTCATATTAAGCCGCAAGTGAACTTCAATTCTTGATTATGAAGAATATAATAGTGTATACAAATCGTTGAAGATATCGATTTTCGCATTACTGGAAACTCTGAAACCGCTCCTACGTCGTTCATTTCCCAATTTTCATTTCAGCAAAAGACTCGCGTAAAAACTTTGTTTGAGAATATACCTTCAGGATTTTTACAAACTATTTTGTATAACCTATGACCTTCTACCTCTAAAACGATCGGAAGTCTCTTATTGCACTTTTCCGCATGTAAAATTGGTTACTCACTTCCCCTGGGCGATTCAACTGAACATAGGATTATACTGTTTAAACAAAACAAAAACTCATTTACTAAGATATGTCAAATTTTTTGTCAAATACTACGAAAATATTTCCTGGAACGATTTTGGGGCGTTGAAGATTTTTTCGTATAACTAAAATATAAAAAATACCAATTTAACTCTTTGAAACTTCTCAACTTCATGATCTTCAATTCTTATTTCCATTGCTGTTTTGTTTTCATATATATTTCGTATAGATGGACAATGTAGATACTAAGAAAAGACGAACAAGATAACTACAGACAAATGGTATATCAGAAAAACAATGTACAAACAACCCTGTGGTTGACGTTAGATTTGCTTAATTGGTTAGATCTAGAAACCACCTTCAGCTCTTAAGAGCCGCTATTCTCCCAAGCTAAAATAATCTGCACATACAGTAGATATGAGTAGATGCATACCTACTATTTCAAACGAAATCATCTCTAATAAAGGAAAAAGTTCTCTGAAATCATCACAGTAACACAAATTAGACATCAATTATAGGAAGTTGAATGCAAAACTTCTTTATGGATTCATTCATCCCAATAAATAACATTTAGCATCCGCAATAGGTGTTCATAATACTCTTTGCCTTTCAAACAAAAGGAAATATATTTCATGGACTGTTTGTTTGGCTTTCCACAAAACCTGTCACAGTAACAAGTCTTTCCTACCAAAAAAAAAGTGTTACATTTGGAAACTATTGAAGAGAATTTGATTAAGAACGATCTGGATTAAATAATGATAAAAACTGTTTAAATGTTACGGAATTAAAAATCATATGAAAGTTAAAAAACACAGAAATAAAAATTCTAACTGCCATGTTTATGTTACACATTACTGCTTTCACCCCGCCAATTTTTTCTCTCTTCGAAACAAACCAAGACCAATTTGAAGTTAAAAACCTGTATCGTTTAAGAAGTTTTCAAAGAAGTATAATCATATAATTAATATTATATATTAATGAATCGGTCATATATGATTGGTGAGTTTTATAATATTAATTTCATTTTTGCATTACTTTTATAATATGTTCTAAAATTACTTGTTAATAAAAATATAGAAACATCACTACTTCATTTACTTGCATTTTGTGTGCTAAAAGTATGCAAATAATTATTTCGTAAAGGACGCAAAAACACTTCAAACTGTCACAAATCGTTTGTAATTGTTACTACAAATGAAAGCGCTAACCATTAACGGATTAACGTCATGATTGTCTTACCTTATCGTCTGCTGAATGGACAGTCTTGGAATGCCGGGTCTTTGTTGACCTTCACGATGAAAGGTAACAGGATTTGAAGCACTCGCACTACTACTGTTTCTGATTGTTCTTCGCCTTGAGTACAAACTCTGAACACTAAATCTGGCAGTTGGACTACTGAACTGATTTCGGTCCTCTTCGACAATTCATTTCTCTTCCAACTCCCTCATTATGGTATTATTTTCGAACCGTATGCCCGAAGAAAATAAGTACATTATAAGTATATGCGGACGGGCACATTATATGGTGCAATCAACATTTTACCCAACTCATGACGTTATCAATTATATTATAATGTCTTCACTATGTAGCACTTAGCGTTGAAGAGGTGCCATACACAGTCCACGAAGTACCACTTTGCGCTACTACTAACAATATGAAATGCTAACAGCGGCATTGTAAGTAACGTAAAACAAATTCTACTGCTCAAAATAATATTAACACTCTTTAAAAAACTAAGCTTTCGTTCAACATTTTTCCTTAAATCCAAAAACTGCTATATGTTTAGACATCTTGACAGTCACTACAAAAGCTTTAAATAGAGACCAAAAGTAAACACTCTCAGACAATTTTTACAAGTCGAAATTTCTCGTTAACGACACTTAGACACGCCTTCATATACACAAAGTATCTCCAAATAAATATTTAAACAATCTGCCCGAAGCGGAGAACGAAACTTATTTTTCTCCACTTTGCGTCTTCGAGATGACGTGTGATCAAAATTACTCCTATTATCAGCAACAGTCGATGTTCTCGTACACTGTCCAGGTGCAGGAGAGCCGATCGTTGTATTTTTGAGAAGTTCTCAAATAGCACGCTTGACACTGCGAAGAGATACGCTTCCTCGTGGCTCTGGATCACCACTGGCGGGCGACCCCGCGTCGCACCTCGCCGTGTGCATCTCCCACTACTTTGGAGGTAGGGCAATTCCACATGATCAGGGGGTGTTGTATTTGTATGTCTCCCGCAGACATTCTTGGTTTCCGATGCAATATTAAATCTTCTTTTCCTTTCTTTCTTAAAACATATTCACAAATATATTTCTTCTGCGTGTCAGTTGATTCCAAATGAACGAAAATGTCTTTGCACGAAAAGGAGCATTTACGTTTTCTGTACGAAAAACAGTTTTGTGCCGTGTCAGGCTATTAAATCACTTTGTGAACAGCACATGTCACACGTCTTCGAAAACTTCTTCATGTATTCAAAATTAGTTCTCACACGTAGTGTAAGGTTATTATATATTAAGATATCTCATTGTCATCACAAAACATTTTGCAAGTAAGCTTTGCTCCACGTAGGATACACTGTACACGTTTTAAATATTACTAATTCTGATTGTAAAAAAATATACAATATGTTAGAAGTACCTTGCGACACGAGATATTTTAGGTACATATAGTTCGAATATTTTGCAAATATGTTCACCACATCATAGAATATTGGTGTGAAGAGTAAGATTGTCGTTAATATTTAGAATATTTTTCATAACTAACTTAGAGAAAAAATACTGAAACATCCCTTTCTTGATGGGGCATCATTAACGCCAATACCGTGAATATTTTTGTCATGACTGATAACAATTATTGATATCATGGACGGCTATTTCACATAGGGTTGCAATGTTTGAAGAAGTTTTGCCAAACGCAGAAACGAAACAACAGTTCATCAAACAAAAACAATTTCCCCGCATGTCACATTTATTTTAAACTTGAAACTGTCTCACATGGCGAAATAAAAGTTCAACGCAATTTAGGTAAAGTCAAAATTTAACAAATGACATGTCTACTAAATGTACACATGCTTATTTCTCCAGAATATATCAATCAACATGGTTTTCATATTGTCAAACATAGATTCATGTCGGAAGAAATGTCAGAAAAATTTGTATTAAATGAAATGTAAGATAGATCTTTCTGCACATGCCTGTACCGAATCATTAAATAAACACGAACATCGAGACATCGCAGTACAGGTTAAACACATAACCGAAACGTTTAACATGTTGCACTGTTTCCACAATCCATATTATTCAGCTTCCCGACGTCCACTTGAAGCCAGCCCACAAAGAACTCCCGCCAACCACACCAAAGACGACGTTTCACGAAATCTCACGCGAACCGACTCCACGAGCACACACGCGTGATATCAGCGTCCGACACACGCACGCGGGGTGACGACGAGCACGCCCCCACACGCCTGAAGCACGCGCGGTGGGCCGTGCTGACGAAAACGTGCGACGAACCGGAGAACACTGTGTCACCGCCACGCGCCCCGACGCCCCGGCGTGGCGACCGGCGACACTACCGCCACTCGCGGCAGCACCGGCGGCGGTCGGCGCGAGCGACCGCGCTGCCATCTAGCGGACGTTTGCTGCCTCCCCTTCGCTGGCTACCCGTCGCGCCGAGAGAACAGTGAGACTCGGTTGCGAAATTGTGGTCAAAACAACCCCCGAGTTAGAGTGTAGGCTCCCGCGGCCGGAGTCAGTATTTATTTGGCTGTCCGGGTGACGCCGCGTCCATGGCGAAGGTGCCGACGTCGTGAGGAAGGTCACAGAATGGAGACCGAAACTTCGGTACCTTCGCCAATGACGCGGCGTCACCCGGACAGCCAAGTAAATACAAACCTCCGAGTTGACCATAGAACCAAGTTAACCTCTACTCAACCGCACTACGCTTACGGGATTAATGACGTTATCCATTAACTCGTCCTGAAACACTAATCAATCAACCATGAACAAAATTTCACAAAACCAACTTGAGGTTTTATAGCAACGTAGGTTTTCACAGGCGGAGTTAATATCATTGAACGATTCCGGACTGGTCGGCAGAGGTCCAGTTGGCGTGGAGGGGCCAAACATATCGTTCACGACGAATACGGTGGACATCCTCGGTAGGTAGGTACGTCGGGCCTTGGGAGGTCTCGAAGTACAGTCTCGGGCGTAGTATCTGTAGTGACGATTGGTTGTCGACTGAACTACGACTTAGCAGCCAGGAAACTTGCGCTGCTATTGTCTGCGGCCGCGAAACCCTTCGATGCTCTATAACCTCAAGTTGGTTATGCATAATTTTGTACGTGAATGATTAGTTTCCAGACGAGGCAACCGTTAACGTCGTTAGTTCCGTTAGTGTACTGTATGCCTTTTTCTGTAAGGTGGTAGAGATCTTCCTTCGCTGAATGGCGAGATCCGGCGCCGACCTACACGTCAACATCGGGTTTTCTTTCCCGAGCTAGGTATCTCTCACCGCCTGAGCCGGGACAAGCTCTAGGCTCCTGACCAGCCTCCTGGCGTGTGTGGTGGTGTAGTGCGTGTAAATGTAAGTGTAAGGTCTGAGGACAGGACAAGAAAGGGGAAGGAAAGATCGCGCGCGGTCCGTAGCCCATTTGGTAGAGTACTATTCCAGCATTCACGTTGTGTTGATTTGAGAAACCACGGAAATATACCGATGAGAGCAGCCCGCCACAACAAGTCTCCTCCAGATAGGGTCTAAACTCCACCTAGTTAGTAGAAAGTGCTAAATAGTAGTTGAAAATCCTGCCACCGTCGCGACAGCAACCCTGAAACCTCCCGGTCAGAGAAATTGCAGTGACATCAATTGATGCCCTGAGCCACTCAAGCTGAAATTTTGTTCATCATCCAAACATTGCAAGAGGAATATCGGATTATATCTCTTATAACCTATCTCCCATTCACGAATCAACTTTTGACGCCTCTTTGCTGCCTGCTCTTTCCCCCAAGCTTAGAGTGGCATAACGACGACAATATTGAGTCACAACAACATCAATGTCGATTTAAAGATTCACAACAACAACAAGGCCGATTTTAGCTTCGAGACGGCATTGTCGTTGACTATACAGTTAATCTGGCCGTCAGGACCTAAGATTCTATTTCGACAGTGGACAATTTTCGACACGAGACATATAGCTAGGTAGCTCCAGAGACAGCGGTAACGCTGGCTCTGAACTGAACTCAACTCAACCGATCCAAAGCATTTTATAGCTAAAAATTAATTTTGCCGGGCAATCAATTTAAAAAAGGGAAAAGCAAAACAAATTCAAAACAACTTATTTAAAAAGATGATTTACATGTACAGCCGAGGAGCCACGAGATATCCATATTTGAATTATCATCACTGAGTGTTTTGAAATACCCCTCGGACAGCCACTGCTCAGCGCGACCCCAGGTTCGATTGCCAGTCGGGGCAGATTATAGTGTGCGCTTATCTTGCAATGTCGCAGCATCTGTTGCCGTGTGACAGATGCGAAAGATCACGTCTCAAGTTCACAAGACCAGAATACAGCGTAGGGTTGTCTATGTGCTAACCATGCGTCTCCCTAAACATATGGTTGCAAGGCCACGGCCTGTCGGGTCGCCGCTTAAGCCTTGGCCCCGCTCGGAACAGGAGCTGTTGCGTCTGTTCATACAGAAACTGAATTGCATTCCAACGTTTTTTGTAAGCTATTTTCTTCTCTTGCTGCTCAGTGGGTCTCCTCCGTGAGCGATTACTGAATTCACAATGCGAGAGTTTCATCCCGATCGAAGTGCGTGGATTTCGGAAGGGCTGAAAAGCCACAGTAGCCGTGCCCCCCTTGTGGCACGGAATCGAACCCTTGCGGATGTCCGCCAAAATTAAATCCCTCCGACAATATCCCGCCCGAACGAGATCTCACTTTCTCGAAAACAGCTAGCTCGGATATGGTTAACTGAGACACACATCTGGCGGAGAAAGTGTGGGTCACACCCCAGGCGCAACAGGGGACCGCCAGAAAGCGCGCCTACTCGACCCGCGTCAGAGGTAGGCTTCGAAGGAAGCCTGGATCGAAAAAATGGATATCATTTGGAACTGCTTTGAATATCCTCTTACCGGGATTACTCAGGACCGCATGCGATCTATGAATTACTACTACTATTGTCTTTTCACCGATTATTTAGCGTCGCAATCCGGTGCCACGCCTCACTGCGCCTAATGTCCTCCGCGCCGGCGACCACCGCTGCAGCCCGCGTGACTCACCCACACGGCCGTGCCTGCGCAGGCGCGCACGCGTGAGCTCTCGGTGGGCGGGTCAGGCCTCCTTTGAACGCGTCCCCGGTCAGGCGGACTGCCCCAGCGGTTCGCGTGGAGCGTTGGCGCAAATGGCGCACTCGCTACCACTGCTCCGTCGTCACGACCACCCTGCAGTAGTTGGGGAATGCAGTCCGTGTCCTCTTGGACTTTTCCGGTTCCTCCTGGAAAAGTCCTCTTGGACTTTTCTGGTTGATATTTGGTTTTTATTGTAGATGATATCTCTATTGTCTTATTTCATTTTATTTACTCCATTTTCTTAATATAATCCATTTATTTTATTTCTTCCATTTACTTCATTGGCTTCATTAACATCATTAAATTCAGTTACTTTATATACTTCGTTTACTTCCTTTACTTCCTTTACCTCAATTACTTCAATTACATTATTTACTTCATTCGCTTTATTTTCTTCATTTACTTTATTTACTTTACACACTTTATATACTTTATTTACTTTATATACTTTATTTACTTTATATACTTTATATATTTCATTTACTTCATTTACCTCATTTACTTCATTTATTTCAATTACTTGATTTACTTCAATTACTTCATTTACATTATTAACTTCCTTTGCTTTATTTTCGTCATTTACTTTATTTACTTCTTTTGTTTCATTTACTTCATATGATTCATATAATTTAGGTATTCCATTTATTTTATTGTATAAAACAGTAAAACCTTCATGTGACTTGAAATGGAAAAAAAATCTAGATTTATGTACCAGATGGAAGTATACATTTCAGAATTTCTCAAAATTGCCACTACAAATTCAAAAAATTTCATCACGAATCCGCAACGAGATGGTTGATAAAGACTAAGGACTAAAGACTAAGTTGCAATGGTTGTTTCAAGTGAATTCAGAGTTTCATAAGAACCATATTTGCTGGCATGTTCGAAATTCATAACTGAGCATGTTAAAACAAAAAAGGAAAATATCCAAAGTAGCCA